TACCCCCATGGTATATCTACGAAAACACTCTTAATCTACTAAAAATATAGTTCTACGATTCTATTAATACAACGTTTTTGCTTTTATAAACCACATTATAGGTATTAAAACACGTGCATATTATAATAATACCGTTCACTAATCTTAATATTTCAGGGTACATAACATTCGTAGATTCCTGCAAATGTCCAAACAAAGTGCCTCAACGAATACAAAACATGTTTATTCGCATGTTTCAAACACTGATGTCGTAAACCAAGTATAACGAAACCGAAAATCACCATTTACGGCTAAGTTAGCACTTTCGCATCTCGCGATGACGATGCACAACCTCAAGGTTTGATTATTTCGCCAAAGAAGACATCCGCTAATAAACACAAAACAATTTGTCACCTACTGTAGGAGTTGGAGCAAAACATAGAACAAGTGGCCCAGAACATGTGTATTCGAATGCCTTAAACAAAGAGTACACCAAAAACTTGGCAGCAGCAGCTCGCTATAATCCCACAGTAATTTCCTACCTACGCATAATGACTCATAGCACTGCGGCACATCTTTGCGTCATAGCAATGACGCGTCTTAGCAATGACGCATAGCACTGCGGCACTGGTGCAGTCAACCTATGCGAAACAGGAAATCACCATGGTGCTACCGTAAACAAAGATCTTGTTATCATGACAACGGCCTTTAAGAAGTGCGGCACAGCTTTTGAAAGTTTTCAGAAAATTCAGGTTTGCTTTTTCAACAGAAAAAAAACACAACTCTAACAAGTGCGTCCGCATTATTGTCCCTTATGGGATTTTTATCCTGTATCAATCACTTCGACGCCGTCTCGTTGGAGTTCGCCACTGTTTGGTTGGCCGTGATCACAACAGCCCATAAGTCCACGAAGTTGTCCCACATCTTTGGCTGACTCTGAAACAAGCCAGAAGACCCGCGCTCATTTAACGATCCTTCATGTAATGCCTATTTAGGTAGTTTGATCGGTTATTCGATACTTGATTCGCAATTTACTACCAATACTATTTACTACCAATACTACTATAAAATATATAAATAAATACTAATAAATATATAAATAATATATATAAATAAATACTAAAATAAATAAATACTATACCATACCAATACTATATACAATTTTGAATTTACTACCAATTTACTACTTGATAGACTTTCATATCCTCCGAAAATTAAAATAAAAACACGGTCTTGACAGGTATTAAGCCTATTCCGGGCGTGGGTATTCAGCTCATACTTGGTGACTTTTCCTAAATATTCATTACGCAAATTTCAGCAAAAAATGCCGTTTCAGGTCAGGTCAGGTCACCAGAGCGTTTTTTTTTTACCCCACCTCAGAAACGTTTGCAATCACGTCAGAGCTAGAGTTTTTCACGGAGCGATTTCCCCTTTTCGGGTCATCATCACAGTACCAGTATGTGTAATTTGTATATATAAGAAATTGCATATCTGTGACCTGAGGTAAGGTCAGAGTCGTGATCTTTACATTACAAGTCCATGTCAAAATATTGAAATGCGTCCTGCTTTGAGTAAACGAGTCAAAACCATCCGATTCTTTCAGGATTATGACAGATTATCTGATCTGTAATGACTCAGATGCCATTTACTGACAAGGGTACTGGGAAGGGTTATCCGAGGTCATGCGACGTCATCAATGGTTTTTAGCTAATAAATCACGATATGAATGGTGCTAAAGACTTGTAAATGTACCAAACTGTTTGCCTGGTTATGACGCGTTGATTGGTATCCAGCGATCAGCGTGACCTTCTTAGGACAAATTTTGAAGTTGACCTATTAAGGTCATGCAAGTGTAGCGTGTGCTCACCGGGAAAGAAAGCAAGAACCTAGACCAAGATATATGTACAATAACGAGAATGAAATTTAGCGAAAGCAAATAGACAGTCCCTAAACAGAAAACCAAGGGCCCTAACGCAGCGAGCCGGCCGCAGACCACGTTCCTCCGACTCCGCGCTCCCGCTCATTCTACTCGCCGCCGCGCGGCGCACCCCGTCCGCCCGACCGCCCGGTCACGTGACCAGTGGGCGGCCTCAGGCGGTGGCCGTTCACCGGTCGGCCGGCCGGTGGACCACCCGCCGGCCACCGCCGCGAAACGCCGTTTAGCATTTGTCACTCCGATTAGTGGTTTTCGAGATCTGAAGGGGGTCGAAAAGGCCCCCGCCCGATTCCGAACCTTTCAGAGCCCGTCCGGAGTATAGGGTTATAACTTACCTTCGCGACAGGCGCACGCAGGAAAAGCTCCCGCAACCGGACGCTTCGAAACAGTCTAGCCTCCTCCACGTTTCCGCCTCAGTCATCCTGTTACTGCTGTATCTGCAGTCTGCAGCCACCATTCCACTTCTGTTCTCCACTTCTTTTCCACAATATGTACCGCACAATTCGATAAACACCACTGATTCTGCATGGTCTGAGCACTGCCAATGCGCTCCACGCCTCAGCCGACCAGACTGAGAAAAAAATGGCGGCGAACGCGGACGCGCATTCGTCCTTTTGCGCATGCGCGAAAGAAAACCCCCGTAAGCTACTTTGAGAACACCTCCACGGATATTTTACACCTTTAAGAAGTAACGGGCGTCTTTTAAAAGTATTTACAAGGTAATTATAGGCCTCAAGGTGTAAATGTACCGCTTTTGCTGTCGTTTTAATACCTTCTTCGGTGTACATAAACTGATCCCATCTTTTTATAGTCTAGATATACTTTTTGTACCTCAACGGTGTTTGATAAACTAACCACCTTCATTTCTACTTTGATAAAAAAGAAGGGATGTGTTATGGAAGTGTACGATCATTCTTTTGAAAATACCACTGACGTTAAATAGTGCATTCGGCGTAATTGTAGTCTCTGTACAATATTCATGAAATACTTTGGTGTAAAATAAACCAGCTCGGTGTTAATATTTTTTTGTGTGTGGAAGTTGAATATGCATACAAGCTTAGTGAACATATTCATGGTTTTTATTAGTAAGTCGTGATGCTTTTGCATTTGATTAGCATACCCTTTTATAAGAATCATGTTTTTTATCATGATTCACGCTTATTGGTGGCATTTAATTTAGGTGCTAAAAGGCAGGTAATTTTAATAATGAACAAATATTGAGTTTTATACAGTTCATTTGGCTATGTCCCTGTAGCAGCGAGGTAAGACCTTTCCAGGAATTCACGCCTCGCGCCAGCAGCCGTCTCAGCTCAGGGAGGAACAGAGCTGAGAGAGCCCGTTTGGCATGCGAGTGACGTTTCGACATATGAGACACCTTAGCCGGCGGCGTCGGCGGCTCTGGGCCAGATGAGATGGCCGACTGGAGCCGCTGATGTCGCCAGTAACGACGAGCCGGCTGGCACCGGAGCCTGCTCCGAGCCGAACGAAGCCAATAGAGCGGCTGGCGTCGCTGACAGGCCGAGATTTGATATACCGACCGAGCTGGAGAGGCCGACGGACGGAGGAGCGGACGGGACGGGCGGCGGCACCGCGCCGTCCTGATACGTAGCCGAGGGATCTCGAATCTGTTGTGGAATGATGACCAGCGTGATAGCAGCAACACGAATATCTATTTTTAAAATCTGAATAATTGCCACTTATTTTCTAAGCGGTAATGAAGTATTTCTAATAGGATACAGCTTGGGAAAGCCTTTCAAAATTTCCGCTATCGGTAAGGTATGACAAGGTAAAGGTGATAACCTTGCTGTTATGAAGCCATAAAAGGTAATCATTTATGTACTAATAGATTCTATTGCCATCATTCAGATTTCAGTTCCAGCGGCCAGCTTAGGCCTTGGGTAAAGTCAATTAAGCCAGGCTGTAGTCACATTAACCTATTCGCTTGCACCTAATCATCTTCCCAAAGTGGATCTTACGCGATCTATTCGGGACGAACTTTTTTTACACCTGTAGTGAAAACAATTCTACAACTGTTGTGAACGAGGCCCGCATGCACGCATTAAAACCCAGCAATTGCTGGGGTATTCCGCCACCCGCCGTTTGCTAGGGGGGAAGGGGCGTTAAACGCCCCCAGCCGATAACTCGTGAGCCAACAGGCAGGCGCGGCAAACGAAAGAACGCGACGAGACATTTCAGATGAGTATTTGAAAGTTGAATTTTGAGGTCACAGGTTGGGTTAGGGTCAGGTCAAACATCCGAGATTGGGCTTTCAGTGGCATGAAGTTTAGAACCTCGTACTGGGCGTCTCTAGTAATGAACTCGGTCAAAACCGAGTACAATCTTTTATAGAAGTGCCAAACGAATGTTATATCAATGCAGGGTTCAGTCAAGCATAGATCAGGGTCAAGGTCAGGGCAATTAGGTAAGCATATATGTAGATTAGATATCACCGAAAATCAAAACTGATATTCACAGCATAAAACACATGCCTGATGGGTAGTTTTGGGCCAAGAACACGACGGTAGCATTTATTTTATCATACGAGTACGTGTTGTGTCGAAAAATATCGATTTAAGAAATGCGTGCCTCCTGTTCATGTAGCTGTAACGAGAAATTACCTACCAAGATTCAGCTCAAGATTTTAGACCATATGGAACTATGATCAAATCGAAGATAGCTTTTTGATTGTTCATTGTATTTGTAGTCTGATGGCGTTTAGGCGAGTCTCTACGTCTGTTTTGTGATTTTCCATGATTTTTTTAAGCACATGCCCAGTTTTTATCGAAAACTCAGAAATCATGATGTCATTAACATACTGATATCTCAAAAATTTCCAGACGGATTCTTTTAAAAATTCGTCACAAAACTAATTCAATCAACTCCCTACAGTATCTAGAATTTGGCGCGCCTGCGGCGCGCCGTTTTTTTAGCTGTAGCGCGGCAAGAAGTGGGGGCCTTTAACTTACCTACCACCCCCAGCAACTCGCGGCTTTAAAAAAAAGCCTGCAAATGAAAACTTTCGGCTTCTGCAAACAAGGCACGAGGAATTTTGATACAGATTCTAAAATCAAACGCAAGCAGCTGCTCTTGCTAGTAGGGGGCATCCACTTGCTGCTCTCAGCTCTACTTTTGGTCTTGAGTGCTTTTTTGTGAAAGAATGTGAGGCCTAAATATGCAAATTGGTATTGTAAATGATTTAGTAGTTGATCAATTTTAAAATTAAAAATGAACTTATGAAATTGTGTCAGTGACGACTAACACAAAGCATAACGCCCTTCATTTCTATAGAAGATGTATCAGGCTGCACACTCGTCCAGCAGAAATTGGCTACGCCATAATTCGCAAAATAACAAAATGCGTAATGGATATGAACTGGTGGAGAATCCCAGCGCCATTGCAAACAGACATGTTCAAGAACTATGGGAAGAATCTACAGGAACTTCGTATACGAGCAGTCAGGGACAGCGTTTTCCCAACCGCCCTCCAAAATCGTCCCATAAAGAAGACAGAATAAATACCGGGAAAATCTTGACGTTTACTCCATCTAAAGAAGAAAAGACCAGAGAAATACGCAAGAAATTGAGAGAGCAGGAAATGTTACGAAAACGAAGGATAGTACAGGAGCAGCGTCGAGAAGAGAGTCGAAGGGCATTGGTAGAGGAGCAGCAACAAAAAATGAAACAACAGTGGCAAACGAAAAACAAAATGAAGCAAGAGGTAAATCATGCAAGGAAAAGAAGTGTTGATCAGATTCAATCCGATTGGAAGCATGGTATCATGGTGAAAATTATGCGAGAAGATGAATCAAGAATACGGAAACTCGGCGAAGCCCGTGATATCTTACGAAAGCAAAAGGACGATGCCTACTATGATAAAGTGGTGGGCCACCTCCGTCAAATGGAAGAGAAAATGCTGAAAAATAAGGAGCAGCTCCCTGACGGCCCGGACAAGGTCTACACAGAGCTTTGGTATCGTCAGGAGAAGCTGTTTAGAGCGCTCGGGGAAAGATCGCTGGACGATATCAAGGACATGCTCGCATTTACACCAACAATTCTACAAGTCAAAGCAAAAAAGGTTTATCAGGACTATCCACCGCATCGACAAATGCAGAAGCTACTTAACGACCTTGTTGCCGGCAAAATTACAGAGCAATTCTTCTTCAAAGAGTCTTCAGAATTAGTGAAGAAAATGAGCCCATCCCGAATCATCGAGCACCACCGGCGTCAGGAGGCCAGCAAGACGGGCTCCTACAGCCTGATGAAGGTGTCCTCACAGCCGCTCATCGACCGCTACACCATCAGCTGGTCGGCAGCCAAGCTGGACGGCGACCGGGCCCGGGAGGTGGCGGAGAGGGTGATCAACAGCACGCTCCGCCAGGCCGAGAGCGTGTACTCGCAGCTGATGGAGGGCAGCAGCGCCGACCTCACACTCCTCACCATCGGGTCGCTGGACAAACTCGAGAAGAAGATGTCAGAGCAGCTCAAGAGGCGTCGCAGCGGTACATCCGAGGTCTCCCTGGATCACGTGCACTTCAGCGAGCGCAACATCGTGTGTCCACGGCCCCTGGAATCGAACCTGCAGTTCAGCGAGCTGAAGACGGTGGCGAACCGTCCGCCGACGCCGATCCCGTCCGAGGAGCACCTCCGCATTGTCACCGAGAACCAGCAGCTTGTCGACGAAATCACCATACAGTCGGAGAAGTTCCTGCACGAGAAGATGAAAGAGGAGCGCATTAGCAGCCCGAAGGACTTGGCGAAGCACATGCCGCTCACTCCTTCACTCACAGACACCAGGGATAGACTGAAGACGACCATGATGGAAAAGCTGAGTGAGATGCGCCATCATGTGAAGAAAGATGGCAAATACATGTCGCAGATTCCCGAGTCGGCGATGGAGCTCATCCCGCGGATGGACGACACTCGTCGGGAGAGTTTCGTGGGAGACATGGCCAAACTGGTGTCTGACATTATCGGTACAACCATGAAACAGGCCGAGACCATCATGAAGGACGCTATACAGGCCACTCGAGAGAACCTCAGCAAGCCCGATGGTGACGATGGTGGCAAACAGGATGATGGCGTAGACGACGAGGGAACACAAGCCAATAAGAGAATATCTCAGGACTTCAAGCCGGTGTTCGGCAGCCAAGAGCTGCATGTTGACGTTAACGTGGTGGACGGCAGCCTGGCAGCCTACTCGGTGAGACACAGCGCCGGCCAGACGGGTCACGAGGACCACGGCCACCGACCCCCGGTGTCGCACCTGCGCATGTTCTTCAAGCAGCGCGCCTCGCTGGCGGCACCACCTACCGCCAAACTGGTGCGCGTGGACCGGAAGCGGCACTCGATGCCGGCCACGCTGCCGACCTGCATGGACCCGACGCAGATGCACGGGCGGAACAGCTTCCTGTCTCTGGTGAAGCCGGACCTGCAGACGGTGGCCGAGTTCCGCGACAAGACGCGCAGCCAGGTGGAGGCGGTGCTGCGCGACCACTCGGCGTTCGGTGCCGTGCAGATCGAGTCGCCGCCGACCTCGGACGGCGAGGACGAGGAGCTGCTCGGCCCGCCGAAGGAGCAATCACACCTGCCGCCAGCACTGGTCGTCTCCACAGACGCGCCCGGCGAGGCGCTGGACCAGCTGACCGAGCTGCCGGCCGGCTCTGAGCACTCGCCGCGCATGTCGCCCAGTCTGCCCGTGTACCGGCGCACGCCTAGCGTGGCCGCCGAGCCCGTGCGGCCCACACACAGTGTCACCGCCTCGCGGATGCTGATCACCTGTGACTCGGATCCGCGGCTATCGCTGCGCACCAGCACTGCCGAGCTGAGCGTCGACCTACACGGCCACAGCATGCACTGCATCGACCATGAGGCAGAGGGAGAGCCAGAGGAGGAGCTGCGCCGTCTGGAGAGCTCAGCGCTCGGATTCGGCGAGCTGGAGCGCACCTCGTCCGAGCCGCGCGTGGAGGGGTCGACAGCTGAGCTGGTGCCGGTGCGACGCTCCGGCTCCGCCGACGGAGGACCGCTGCTCATGGACCGTAACGACAGCGACAACGAGCTGGAGCTGCGTGTGCGCGGCAACCTGGCGACCGAGGAGACGGAGGCAACGGAGCCGAACCCGGCACAATAGCTACCAGTTCGGTAAACTACAGCGACCGGTTAACTGAGGCCGGGTCACAGACGGCAGATACAGCGAAAAAAGAGGAGCCGTAACACGCTTAAGTCAGCTTTGTATTCTTCTGATAAAGCACTATGATCCTCGAAAGCTCTGCTTTTTGCCAACTTGTCCATGGTTTACTTCATTTTTCTTTTATTCTATTAGTATGTCTAATGTCCTTCAGTTCGGTATCTTTGGTTATGTTTGGATCAATGGGCCGTGTATAAGTTATGTCTCTTCCTTTGAATATGGTGGAATATCTCATCGCTGATTAGAGGACTTTATTTCAGTGGCGCCAAAATGAAACATACTAGATTTGACCATATCTTTCTATGAAACCGCTGATGCATGATGCATGTGTCCAAATATTTTGATATCTGGGTAGTTCTATAGCTACATCTCATTAAGTAAACAACACCACTGTCCATACACAAAGCTCATTGCATACTTCAAAATGCATCATATTGAAACATTTTGGAAAGGCACGCATGTATAGGGGGAATATTTGATGGAGCAATTATTCCAACATATTTTTTTAAGACATGCATTGCGCACTGCACACGCACATATTGCTCGACTACCTGAAAGAGACAAAATGACTTCGGGCCACATTTAAGTTGGCACATTTGTATGTAACCGTGTAAGACAACTTTACAGCAATGCAACAATGCAAGGTTTAATTAGTTAGGCTGACTTCTAATGCCTAATTCTTGCAGGCTGACGTTTGGTTTCATAAGTCAGGTGACAGAGTCAAGTCAAAATCATGCTTCAATAATTTGCCTATACTTTCAATGCTCAACGACCCTAGTGTACGGTCAAGGGGTTTAAAGGTTTCAAGTCTGCACGATAGAGTATGAACATATAAAATGTCTCTTCTTGTCCTCATTAAGAGCTTATTCAATATCTGATTATAGATCTTTTTACGGACTAAGCTCTTGGTTCAGAAAGTAAAGCGGTACATCTTTGAGAATTTCGCAAGGACATGAGGTGGGGTTTGTAGAGTAGCAAGTTTAAGTGAACTTCACAGTCCGGGTCGGAGCTTTCGAATTGTGTTACAAGACTTCGTCAGTGTGTCGTAATCGAGCTCGGGATAACCCCGAACCCGATTACGACACGCTGACGACGTTTTGTAATACAATTCGAAGGCTCCAACCCAAACGAGCTCTTGTGGAATAAGGTCCACAATAACTTGTTACTGTTTGAAAATTATTGAGAGCAACGGAAAATTTTTATTCTGCGTTCATAATCCTCGTTCATAGGGAGCGGTGAAATGCGAAGGCACTTAACGGTGTTTGTATTTCAGTTGAGACAATTAACGGTGTTTGATTAAAAAAAGTGACGTTTTTATGCATTCGGCAACTGTTTAATGTGAAAACCGCTACCACGAGAATATAGAAATAGTGCGGCAGGCGAGAACAACACGCCAGATTCCAAAAAGCAGCGTTCTTTGTTTATTCTGGATGAAAAGGCCGAGGCGACTATGCAAATGCAAATAACGAATGCAAATAACCACGTACAAATTGCGTCAAAGCTATTTGCATATACCTTTATTGAGAACCTCTTACTGCTTGCCGTCTCTGGAATATGAGGCATTTCCATTTTCAAATGAGATTATTTCCTAGAATACCTTCCTTTTAAATGCAAAACGTAACATTCATTTGATCTCAGTGCAGGCCAGGGACTTTTATCTCCACGGCGTTGAAAATGCCAACATGGTAATTGTTCACTGACATCCCTTTGGGAGAATCAGTTCGCCGAAATTGCTCGCTTCTTACATGCCTTACGCCTGTTCTACAAGACTGGGAGGCGTAATTAATTATGGAATGTCAAAAGGACCAACGCATACACTTAGCCTCAGTATAGCATAAGCAGACCGCCACCTGGGACCATTGGAAGTTCAAATATGTAGGTATCATATCACCCTGGGAGGAGGGAACAAACAAGTCAGACAAAGTCGCACTCATGTATTAATACACTTCGTGCAAGCTACCTGGCGTAGTGGGAGCCGAGGGATGCTGAAAATAGTTGATAGAATTAATTCCTGTCTTGTGTCTCTCACCCGTTACATTGATATATATGAAGTCAATTTGAAACCAAGGATTAGAGTCAAAATAAGGGCATATCACATCATCCACTTGCCCCGCTCAGGGTAATAAAACAGTAAATTGCTTCCGAGCCATTGCGAGTGACACTGGTGAATAAATTTGATATACTCCGCAGACTGACCTCAAATATTTCTCTGGAAACCAAACCAAATCAAACCCTTTCTGATCTCCGGCGAGCGCCACACCGATTCCCGTCGCTCTGATGTTTGTTCCGGTCCTCTTCCTCCCGACCCCGCCCTCTGCCCGCCGAGGGTCCCTCTCATTTCCTGGGGCGGTTATCTCCTCACCCCTCACCCTGCTGGGGAGGGGGGGGGGGAGGGCCCGACATGCCGCGAGAGGCAGCTCTCAGTTGGCTAATTAAACCCGACCCCTGGTCAATAGGACGCCGTCGCCAATCGGATCGGTCGGCGGGACGGTCGTGCCGACGATAACTCGCCTGAGGAGCACCATCGCGCTAACAGTCGCCCGATCATCCGTGGGATGAATGCCGCCGCCTCGCTACGGTACTTATGCTCAGCTCAGTGATTGCCTCGGGCCGTTACACTGTAAAAAATGCTAACAAACCAGTTAGTTAATTCTTCAAGCAAAATCTAGTATTAAAACACACGTTGTTGCAAAAAATGGGTCAGGTAACACATATGTTTGCAACCTAACACCACATCCATTTCATCGAAGCAGAAAAGCTAACATCATTGTAAGCCGACAAATATTATCCGTGCAAACCATGCCGTGTTATTTGACAAACATGTTTGTTTATGCTTCCTTTGCCTTTTTTTCTGGGTAACGTGTTAACTAACAAATCAAACGCATGTTGTTACTCACAATCTTAGTTTTCTTACTACTCTTTTTGTTGTAGCATTACAAAGACCTTAGTTAATTGAAAAAATCGCCATTTTGTGCGCCCCTCTGCGCCCGCCATTGTTCAGTCTGTGCCAAGTCAGAGATGGGAGAGGACGCGTGCGTTGTGAAGGAGCTGAGCTGTGGCGTATAAGTGTTGCGTGTGCAGTATAAGGAGCTGCTGTGGGATGCAGAAGTGGTGATACTGTGGTGATACATAACCCGAATAAGAATAATAAGAAGTCAAACAGTGAAATGATATGGATTGTTGGACATGGCTTTCATCCTTACTGGTATGGTGAGTGATTATGGGAAAGATCAGTGGAGATATTGCTGGCGTTTTAGTGTGGTTTATGTATGTCACTCATTTTCTTTTCAAATGAAGCTCCAACCAGGCTTTAGAGGGTCTCAGGTTGGAGACACTGTTCATTTGTTGAATGTAAATTGACGTCTATAAGTACATATGACGGACTGAACAATGAGCATGTTGCACACTAAAACCGCATTAAGCTTTGAACAAGAAATCAAATGTACCTAATTTTTGGTTGGGCACTCAACCAGTGAACGCAGTGAGGTGCTGTTTTATGCAATTCCTGTCACTGTAGCCATGTTGTCAATTTTTTTTTTGTAGACACATGAGCCACCATTGTTCGGTCAGGGAATTTTTGCCCTTTTGTTGCAATTTAGTTTGCCCATATCGACAGAAATGAAGCATTCTCAATGTTTTCGTAATAGGTATTTGGAGCCTGTATGGTGTCATGGCTGGTGCGGATTCCTGCAGGCTATATATAGCTTAGAACGTAACTTTAGAACGGAGCGCCTTTGCCGCTCGGCAGTTTCCTACAGAAGATTACTTTTTTAGGTTCATTTTTAGTACAATAAGAGAAATATTACTGTATGCAGTTGTAAGCTTGCTGAAAGGAGCTTGAATGCAGTTTTGAATAAACATGTTTGATGAGTTTAATTCGATTCGTTTTTTTGGGGGGGGGCGGCTGTGAAAAGAGGTGACTAACACGCACATTAGTTAAGTTACACGCCTGTTCTCAAAAATGCATTTAGTTTATTAACACGCACAGCTTAGTTAGCTAACACGCAATATGTGTGTTTTGCGTACACGCATATAGCTAGTGAAAAGTGGCCGTGTGACAAACACATGTGTTACCTAACACGTCTGTAGTTATTAACAAAACACACCGATGATAGTCAATAAACACGCTTACACGGCTTATCTTAGTAACCTGGCAAATATTCGAAAACTAGGAGGTGTGTTTCAAAACACGCTATTCAACCTTTTGCGTGTAATTGAAAACACACTTAGTCATGAAATGCGTGTTTTGCTTACACGCCTATGGTTAGTGAAAAGTGGCCGGATAACTAACTAGTTGGTAAACTTTTTTTACAGTGTACGACGGCTAACGGCTCGGTCGCCGCCGCCGCCGGTCGTCCAGCCATCGATGGGATGGCCTCCCCGAGGATCGGCATCAGCCTAACAGGCAGCCAGTCGCCACAGATATTGGTCGATATCTTTTTTTCTCAGACGTTCACGAGGCAGTGATAAGGCTTGAATAAATGTAATGAAAGGTGTGTTATACATATAATGCGCGATGAAACGTTTCATTTATACATGACTTGAAACTTACTAGCTTCTGAGTGAGCTTAGGTAGCTTACCTTATTACGGAGCGAGCGAAGCGAGCGGAGTCTTTCCTTAGATTAACGGAAATTTCTGAGTATGAGCGGCCGGCCGGCCGGCCGGCCGGCCGGCCGGCCGTGGGGACGCTCTTCAAAAGCTAATATCTTAGGAACGGGACATCCGATTGACAAGCGGTCTTCTTTACTGAATGTCACTTGGACGTAAAATTTATGTGGTGTGATGGCCACCATGTGTTCTTGCCAACCACCGCACGTGGCGCGTGGTAAAGTTGGACATTTTTTAAGAACCCCCAAAATTGCAACCTCAATAACGGCACAACGGTTGGGCCGATTGAATTGAAACTCGGTACACAGTTAGGTCTCCATCAGATAATTCATCTGCATGTGTTAAGGTTGGGGTGCTGCTGCACGTGCGCACGTGCAGGGGTCGTTTCCAGATCTCGAGAACGGCTGGACCGATGGCGCTCAAATTTGGTACACGGTTAGGGACCAGTTAGTAGGGTGCCGTGCACAAGTCAGTTGGGACCCATTTTGCACGTGCGCACGTGCAGGGTGCCGCTTCCAGATCTCGAGAACGGTTGGGCCGATTGTGCTCAAATTTGGCACATCGCTAGAGACCGGTTAGTAGGGTGCCGTGCACAAGTCAGTTGGAGGTACCCCCTCGAAATTTCGCACGTGCAAGGCCCACCCTCTCGCTCGCTCCGTTAGTCGCCCCATAAGGCGTTAT